ATTTTTACTTTGATTTCTTTTGCCTTGGGAGAGTGACTTAAGAAAACATTGCTACGATTTACATCAGAAAATGTTTTGCCTATGTTCTCTTCTAGGAGTTTTATGGTGTCATGTCTTATATTTAAGTCTTTAAGCCATTTTGAGTTTATTTTTATGCATGGTGTGAGGGAATGTTCTCACTTCATTGATTTACATGCAGCTGTCCAGCTTTCCCAACACTACTTGCCAAAGAGACTGTCTTTTTTCCACTGTATATTCTTGCCTCCTTTGTCGAAGATTAATTGACCGTAGGTGTGGAGGGGCTCATATCTTACAGAGAAGGGACAGGCAGAACAGAAACCCCAATAGTCTGAGCTGTTTTGTTTCTTGAAGCAGATGCCAATTTCTAAGTAGTCTGAGAGAAGCCAAGCAAAAAGTAGCAGCCAAGAGGCTAACTAAATAGATCTTTTAGCAGTTTTATGGTGCTGGGGAGATCACAAGGGGAGGAATGGAATTGGTTTTCAGTTGAGACTGCTGAAGGACTATACCAAACCTTATAAAGATGGAAACAGACCAAGATTATCTTTACAAGGACTGAAAGCCAGCCTTGAAAACACTGATTGGATTAATAAGCCTCTTTAACTGCCTGCCAGACACTAAAGACTCATTTAAAATCTATAAGTTTTTATACAGAGTGTAGCATCCAATCACAGATTACCAGGCCTATCAAGAGAAAAAACAGACGCTAGAAACAGACACTAGAAACAGAGAAACCAGATGTTGACATTATCAGACACAGAATTTAAAATAAGTGTAAATGTGTTCAAGAAGTTTACCAGAAAACTGTAATTTATATTTTTAACATAATCAGATAATAAAGGAATAATACAGACTAGAATTTTTTCACAAACTTAGAAGAAAGAAATTTGGACAAAATGTCACCAAATCAAATATAGCAATATATAAGAAGAAAAATACAGTTGACCCTTGAACAACATGGGGTTTGAACTGCATGGGTCCACTTATATACTGATTTTTTTTTTTTCCAGTAAATGCAGCACTGCATGATCATGGTTGGTCGAATCTGTGGATGTGGAACTGTGGATATGGAGGGCTGACTGTAAAGCTACATGAGAATTTTTGACTGTATAGGGGATTGGCACTCCTAACCCTCACGTTGTTCAAGGGCCAACTGTATATCATAACCAAATCAGGTTTATGCCAGGGTTGTAAGTTTACTTTACATTTCCAAATAAATCATGTCATTCACCACATCAGCAGAATGAAAGAATTTAAAAATATGATTATCTCAATAGTTGCACAGAAGTCTTTTGACAAAATTCAGCATCCATTTATGATAAGAACTCAGGAAACAAAAAAATAGAAAGGAACTGCCTTAATCTGATAAAGTGTCTCCATAAAAAAGCTGCCCCAAATATCGTACACAGTGATGACCTATTGAAAGCAGGGAAGGATGGCCATTTTCACCACTTCTGTTCACTGTTACGTTGGAGATCCTAGCCAGTGCAATAAATAAATAAAAGGTATAAAGACTGGATAGGAAAATGAAAACTTTATTGTTTGCAGAGAACATGATTACCTAGAAAATCTAAAAGGATATACAACTAAGTTATTAGAATAAATAAGTAAATTTAACAAGGTCACTGAAGACATTGTACAGAAATCAGTTGTATTTCTATATGTCAGAGAAAAGGAAAATTTGAAGGATGTCTTTACAACACCATTAAGAAAACATCAAATACAATATCATCTATTGCTCTGTAACGAATCATGCCAAAACTTAGTAGTTTAAAACAACCATTTTATTTGTTGACAAATCTGTGGGTCAGCAATTTAGACTGGACTTAGCTGGGTGCTGTTTCCGCTGGACTTACTTGTGGTTATTGATGTGGCTGCAGTCACCTGCCAGTCAGCTGAGACCAAAGGGTATATAAGATGACCTCACAACCGTGTCAGGCGCTTGGTGTTGGCTGTCAATAGACCCCCTTCCACGTGGTCTCTCGTCTTCAAGGAAGCTAGTCTCAGCCTCTTCACATGGTGGAAACATCAAAAAGGGTGGAGCAGAAGCTCCGAGATCTCTTGAGGCCAAAGCTCAGAGATTGCACGTTACTTCTGCTGCACTTTATTGTTTGAAGCAAGTTATAAGGTCAGTGCAGATTCAGGCGAAGGGGAAATAGACTCTGCTAATGATAGAAGATGCAAAGAATTTGTGGCCATTTCTACTGTACCACAGATACCTAGGAATAAATCCAACAAAGTGTGTACAAGACCTCTGCACAGAAAGCAATTAAATATTACTGAGAGAAATTTTAAAAGGGCTAAACAAGTAAAGGGGTGCACCATGTTAATACATTGGAAGATTGAATATTATAAAGTTGTCATTTCTTCTCAAATTGATCTATAGATTCAATGGAGTCTTGATAAAAATTCTAGCAATTTCTTTGGTGGCAGATTGACAGGCTGCTTCTAAAATTTATTTGGAGATGAAAAGTGCAAAGAGTAACGAAGGTAGTTCTGAAGAAAAAGAACAAAGTTGGCGAGCTTACACTAACATACTTCAAAATTATTATAAAACTATAGTAATTAAGACAGTGTGGTATTGACAGAAGGCAGGGCAAAATGAAACACAAAGGAGAATCCAAAAACAGACACATATAAGTACATTCACTTGACTTATGACAAAGTTACCCTGTACTACAATAAGGGGAAGGATGGCCTTTCAATAAATGTTATTCAGTTGATTAGATACCCATGTGGAAAAAATGCTTCTTGATCTGTGCTTTAGAACATATATAATAATCACGTTCAGGTAGATTGTAGATTTAAATGTGAAGAGCAGAACAATAAAAATTCTGTAAGTAAACATATGGGAATATCTTTATGACCTTAGTGTAGGTAATTTCTTAACTATGACCTAGAAAGTTCTTTCCATAAAGGAAAGATTGTTAAGTTGGATTTCATTAAAACTAAGAATGTCTGCTATCAAAAAGCACCGAGTGATAAGACAAGTCCCATAATGGGAGAAGATACTTGCAGTATATTCATGAAACAGAAGACTTGTATACAGAATGTATAAGAAAAACTCCTACAAAACTATAAGGAAAAAACAGACAATCCACTATGAAAATGAGCAAAAGACTCAAGTAGGAACTTAACAAAAAAGTATATCCACGAGGCTGATGTGTGTATTATCAGGTGCGTAATCTCATCCTTCAACAAGAAGATGGAAATTAAAACCACACTGAGTTACCATTACACACCCATTAGAATATTTGTTTTTTAAAAAGCTATCTTTGGGACTTCCATAGTGGCGCAGTGGTTAAGAATCCGCCTGCCAATGCAGGGGACACAGGTTCGATCCCTGGTCCGGGAAGATCCCACATGCCGGGGAGCAACTAAGCCCGTGCACCACAACTACTGAGCCTGCGCTCTGGAGCCCGCGAGCCACAACTACTGAGCCTGTGTGCCACAACTACTGAAGCCCGCGTGCCTAGAGCCCATGCTCTGCAACAAGAGAAGCCACCGTGATGAGAAGCCCGCGCACCGCAACAGAGTAGCCCCCACTCGCTGCAACTAGAGAAAGCCTGCGCGCAGCAACAAAGACCCAACACAGCCAAAAATAAATAAATAAATTAATTAATTAATTTCTAAAAAGCTATCTTTACCACGTGTTGGTGAGGATGTAGCATAACAGGAAATTTCATAGACGGCTGCAGGGAGAGTAAGCCGGTTCAGCTGCCTCGGAAAACTGCTTGGCAGCAGAGGCTATAAGGTTGAATGTGTACGTTCTTTATGACCCGGCAGTTCCACTTCCAGGTAGATATTCAAGAAAAATGCATACAAATGTGCCCCAAAAGACATGTCCAAGAATGTTCATAGCAGCATTATACATAATAGCAAAAAAATGGAAACAGCACAACTGTTGCATCAACAGCAGTGGTTAAATAGTTTTATTCATATGTTGGAATACTGTGTAGCACTGACAGCTGTGTTTAAACTGCAGCTGTTTGCAGCAACCTAGTGACTCACAGACTTACTGTTGATGTCAGAAGCCACATACAATAAAGTCCATACTGATGATTGCATTTAGATAGAATTCAAAGCGGGAAAAACTCAGCTGTGGTGCTGGAAGTCAAGATACTGGTTACCACGGGCTTCCCTGGTGGCGAAGTGGTTAAGGATCTGCCTGCCAATGCAGGGGACACGGGTTTGAGCCCTGGTCCGGGAAGCTCCCACGTGCCGCGGAGCTACTGAGCCTGCACTCTAGAGCCTGCGAGCCACAACTACTGAGCCCACGTGCCACAACTACTGAAGTCTGCATGCCTAGAGCCTGTGCCCCGCAACGAGAGAAGCCACCGTGATGAGAAGCCCGCGCACCACAACGAAGAGTAGCCCCCGCTCACCGCAACTGGAGAAAGCCTGCACGCAGCGCCAAAGACCCAGTACAGCCAAAAAAACCCGATATAAATAAATAAATAAATTTATTTTTTAAAAAAAGCATACTGGTTACCTTAGGGGAAGAGGGGGTCTTGATGGGAGGTCCACAAAGAGGGGATGGTGGTGTGGTGCTTCCAAGTTGAGGATAATAACCGACTTTCTGGTCTGCGTGGTGGTTACATGGTTGTGTTTACTTTGAGAAAAATCACTGAACCGTACATTTGATTAGTACACCTTTCCGTATGTGTGGTATGCTTCAGTCAAAAAGTAGAACGTGACATACAGATCCAAAACAGACCAGAAAGATTGTGCTGTGAAGCTAAGAGTGTTTATTTTTATGTGATATATGTTACTTTGAGTGATATATCTATATATTTTTTTTATATATTCCTAATATTTTACTTTTGTAATTACAGGGGAAAATCCTTATTTATGAATATCATAACCTTGATTCTCATTGGAAAGTTGACATGACTTGTAGCTTTCATGGAATTCAGAATTACAGTACCCTGGAAGGCCATCACATGGCTAAAGCATATCGTTGCCTTTCTCCCCCTAACTAGGCCCTCAAAAGCACCTTGGGATTTCCATTGATTCGGTTTGAAGATGCCGTGATTAATCTGGATCCATTCACTCGGGTACATCCCTATGAGACCAAGGAATTCATCATCAATGATATCCTCAAACATTTCCAGGAGGTGAGCTTTGGAGCAGTACTTAGTGGCTGGAGCATAAGCAGAATGATTGTTTTAGTTGTTTGGGAATTCTGGTTACTGACATGTCACTATTGACAACCCAGATGAACATTTCAGCTCTGATTGTTGTGTTATGGGTCACATCACAGCCCATGAAGTCCACACACATCATGAAACTCTTGAGACAGTGCATCTGATTTATGAACGGATAATCTTGTCTCTCAGAACTGGTCTCAGGGGCTTCCACTAGATCAGTCACAATGTTAAGGGTTTAATTGAGGCTTTCATGACAATGCAAAAGACTGTGAATGTGAACCCTGTTTGCCAGGCATGGGCCTACTTTCAGTGACCACATCAGTGTTCTTGGAGCCTATGAAATCCTGCCCTAGAGCTGAACTTAAAAAGTTTTTATCAAGTTTGGATATTTTCCATTTTGTATTTATTATCCAGACTGCAAAGACCAAAATCTAAAGCCAAGACGTACTCTTCGATGACTAGAAGGGTCAAGATCATATCAAATTTATTTGCTGTCAGAGTTAAAGTGTATCCTATGCGTGTTCCCTTCTCTCCTTCCTCCCTCCTATCTCCCCCCCCTTTCTTTCTTTGCTTCCTTCCTTGACCTCCCTCACCGGTGATATTTCCACTGCACTGTGAGGAGAGTGAGATAGCGGATATCCCTGGACTGTGGAGTCAGGCAGCGGGAGCACACAGGAAGTGGGGGGGGTTGCTGGGTAGATCTGAACGTGCCCACTCTATGCACCACCCGCTCGGCAGACTCTGAGGGGTCTCTGAGGGGTCTCCAGGTCTGCTTCCTCCCTCACTTTCCTTTTCAAACTCTCCCCGCTGCTGGCTAGTTCCCTATTTGTAGAGTGGTGGAAAGGAGAGTGTGCTATATATACTAATAAGTATTTGTAAAGAGTCTTACCTGTTTCATAGCTTTTTTTTTTCTTCTGAATGGCTTCGAAGAGTATAAGAGTACTGAGAGTACTGGGAGAGGTTTAGGGCAGAGCTCACGAAGGGCAGGAGCTCACAGTTGATGAGAATTAAAGGGTGATTGTTGGTGTTGGTGGGAACGGAGGACAAGAGAGATTTCTAACCTTTTTGCTTGGGATGCTCGATCTGCAAATATAAACAGGTGCTGGTTTTCTTCTTTCCCTGCTCTGTTTGACAGGAACTCCTCAGCCAGGCAGCTCGAATCCTGGGATCAGTGGACTTCCTCGGCAATCCCATGGGGCTTTTGAATGATGTTTCTGAAGGGGTGACTGGACTGATAAAGTATGGAAATGTTGGGGGCCTTATCAGAAATGTTACACACGGAGTATCAAACTCTGCTGCCAAGGTAAGGAAATAGAGGTGAAATTCCATTGTAATTAGCCTCAGGAGTCCTCTACATTACTGTAACTTCTTTTAGAGTTAATAGGTTGTGAGAAGTTACATACATGGCCTTGGCTTCATCACCCATGTGCCCTGCCTTTCCCGCACCTCCAATAGCCCGGCCCCAGGCCATCAAGTGCTCCTCTGCACTCTCTCCCCTTCCTCCTCTCCGTTCCCACTGCGTTCATCCAGGCTGTGATTGTCTCTTCCCTCGCCCACTGCCATAGCCTCCTGCCCCCTGACTCCACCGCAGCTCTCACAATGCCACCAGAATGAACTCACTTTATAAAACATAGAACTTGATCGTGCCATTCTCCCACCTAATATCCACCCGTTATTACCCACAGCTCACGGGATAAAGTCCAAACTGTGGTACGGCCTTCTAGAGCGAAGCAACCCTTTAAGTCATCTGAGTCCAGCAGCGGAAAGACAGCAGTGTAATTCTGCTGTGTCTTGCTGTATAGCTGGCTTTTTTGTTCATTGGCTTCCTGTTTGGTGGACATCTTGTTATTCCATAGTTCAATTTTTGGCAGGAGCTGATTTTACGTGTGAAGCTGGAAAAAGGTGAACGTAGTTGAAGGGGGGTTGCTGTTTGATAACATGCAAAAGGCGTCTAAAGACTCTGCTTTCCTTCCCTTCCTGTCAGCTCGACAGAGTTTCCTTCTAGAGATTGACCTTTTCACGAATGAACCAGCATTGGGAGAGCGCCTGTGCTCCCCGCTTGTCTACCATAGAGCGTTGTTGTAGCAAAGTCATAGGTGCACTTGTGCCGTGGCCACTAGGATGATGGCTTCACCGTAGAGAGCCTTTCAAGTGCCACGTAGGAATTTATCTTGATGAGCAGGTAAGGAGGTAGAGTTGAATGGCAACATTTCTCTGTTGCATAGCATTCTTGGTAATAATGTGTGTAAGTTGGGAATTTATTCCTGTTTTCCAGACTCTTTTCTAGAGCTGCTGGATCTTAAGTCAGATCAGGTTTTTCAATACAGGCAGATCTCGTTTTCTTACGCTGCGCAGATAGTGCGTGTTTTACAACTTGAAGGTCTGTGGCGACCCCACGTGTCCAGCGCGTCTGTAGGCGCTATTTTTCCAGCAGCATCTGCTCACTTCATGTCTCTGTGTCCCATTTTGGTAATTCTTGAAATATTTCAGACTTCTTCATTATGATTATATTTGTTATGGTGATCTGTGATCGGTGATCTTTGATGTTATATTGCAAAAAGATTATGATTCGCTGAAGACTCACATGGTGGTTAGCATTTTTTAGTAATAAAGTATTTTTAAATTAAGACGTATGCATTATTTTTTTAGACATCATGCTGTTGTGCGCTTAACGACAGTGTAGTGTAAACTTAACGTTGTCTTCACTGGGAAACCAAAAAATTTGTGTGACTCACTTTATTGCAGCATTCGCTTGATTGTGGTGATCTGAAACGGAACCCACAGTCTCTCAGAGGTATGCCTTTGCTGGACTTACATTAAACCAGAACAAAAGGTACTGTTTGGCTTGTGGTTCAAAATAGGCAACACTCTTTAACTTTTCGAGAAACGGTGAAAGGTAGAGAGGCAAGGGACTTTCTAAATCATGGTTTGGAAATGGACTCCGGGTCGTAGTCTGAATGAGTGTGCACATTTCTGCCTTGAATCATTGCGTATGCTGCCCTTGGACCTTCACCCCTGACAGCAACATAAAAGTGGCACAGATTCCTCAATGTTCTTTTGCTACTAAACTTGATATAAACAGATGCAGTTAAAATATTTACTTGTATACACCTGTAATTTATATAATATTGTACATCAGCTATACTTCAATTAAAAAATTTTAGTTGTGGTGCTCAGTTTAAAGATTTTACTTAGTTTTTTAAAACTCTAATTAGGGGCTTCCCTGGTGGCGCAGTGATTGAGAGTCCGCCTGCCAATGCAGGGGACGCTGGTTCGTGCCCCGGTCTGGGAGGATCCCACGTGCCGCAGAGCAGCTGGGCCCGTGAGCCATGGCTGCTGGGCCTGCGCGTCCGGAGCCTGTACTCCACTGCGGGAGGGGCTGCAGCGGTAAGAGGCCCGCGTACCGCCAAAAAAACAAAAACAAAACAAACCCTCTAATTAACATAGGACAGTCTCTTTAGTTTTATAATTCCTTTCTCTATTTTTGTACCCCTGGGCTTTGTTTTCATTAAAAAAAAAAAAAAAAGGCACTTATGGTTTATTGGAAGGCCTTCCTCAGCCTGGAATATGCCCTGACTTTATAGCTTACTATGAGAATAAAATGAGATATGACCTTATGAAAACTTTGTAAAAAATGAACTGAACAAGAGAAATGGGTTTTCACTTTGACTCTTAGGTTTACATCAATGTAAAATGTACAAACTTTAGCCACCAGGATACCATTAATGCCCTGGAAACGAAAGCCAGTATATTATAGTCTACAGAAGAGGAGGGACTCAGGCTCGGAGAGTGGGAGATTCACACTCCGCTTGGGCCAGTTTGGCTGTTAGGGCCCTCTAGCTACCCTTGTGGATGAGAATGAAGACATCGGGATCTTAACTTGCCTGTGAGCTCTACACAGGTGAGACCTTGTGTGGGTTTCTCCAGAGTTTCTCTACAACATCCCGGTGAAAAGGGTTGGCGCTTTCTTTATTCTCTCTCATTCGGGGACATCTCATTCATCATCTTCTTCTGTTTCCCCTGGAAAACTGTTTTTGAACCTTGAGGGTCAGTATGAGAATATAACGTAAGCAGAAAGAAAGGGCAGCATACTCCTTACCTCCACCCTCACTCCCAAATCCATATGAAGGCCTGGGTGGCAGTGATCTTGTGTCTTGCTGGATATCATGCTTTATCTTGTTGTTGGATTTGCATAAGGGTACTGTTTTCCAGGACCCAAGGCTTCTTGAGTGGGAACCCTACTCCCCATGTGGTCGGCGTCCTTCTTCATGCTTTTTCTTGCCTTTAATGAGCTAATCAGTATTGGCGTCACAGACTGCTGCTCAGAGGAATTGCTATGTAATTTATTTTGATACCAGGAGCCCTGGGTGTGTGATAACAATTAGTCCATATATCTATCACGAGAAAACAAAGAGACTTAAAATTACCACTTCATTTTGGAAATGGTAGCTTCAAAAGCCAGGTCTGTCAGCTAAATGCCCATTCAGGTCATCTGTGATTCTGCATGTATGCAGTTTGGCCAAAGATCTCCATTTTCTTGTAGTTTTGTGGGTTGAAATCAGACCTTTAATGTTGCTTTGGGGGAATGTTTTGTTTGCTTTTCTGTGTACACAAGAAGAGTTTAAGGAAGTGCAAATGACCACAGTAATCAACCATTGGCCTGTGGGAAGTATCCCTTTAAAGAGTGCCTGAGTTCCAGTGGTTAAAGAACGGGGTCAGACAAGACAGAACTGCACCTCGCCGAGCCCCAGCCAGCCAGCCCCACTTGGCTGCAGAAACCAAAGGGCTGTAACCTTGTTTTGTTTTGTTTTTTAAATAAATTTATTTATCTAGCTGTCTATCTATCTATTTATTTATTTATTTAACTTTATTTATTTTTGGCTGCACTGGGTCTTCATTGCTGCCTGCGGGCTTTCTCTTGTTGTGGCGAACGGGGGCTACTCTTCGTTGTGGTGCGCGGGCTTCTCATTGCGATGGCTTCTCTTGTTGTGGAGCACGGGCTCTAGGTGCGCGGGCTCAGTAGTTGTGGCTCCTGGGCTGTAGAGCACAGGCTCAGTAGTTTTGGTACACGGGCTTAGTTGCTCTGCGGCATGTCGGATCTTCCCGGACCAGGGATCAAACCTATGTCCCCTGCATTGGCAGGCGGATTCCCAACCACTGCGCCACCAGGGAAGTCCTGTAACCTTGGTTTAATAGGCTTTGAATGTAGTGGAGAAGCCCCATAAACCTCTTGAAATTAATTATCAATATTGTATATATGTGTATTTTCCTGAAGCAAGGATCTGAAGTCTTTATTGGATTGTCAGAGAGGTTCATGCCTCCCAAGAGATAATAAATCATTATTGTAGACATAGGGTTGAGCATTGAGGGCACTTGGTAGTCAGAATACCTGGGTTCTAATCCCATTCCTACACTTAAATAATCTTTTTCTCTGTTGATCTTGAGGGAATGTTTTTTTTTTTTTTTTCTGATCTATGAGAAGGTGGTGGTAATTTCCCCTGTCCCACTGACCTGAGGAGCAAAACATTTGAAGATGTAAAAACCCAGCGAGAAGTTAAAAGGGAACTCATTCTGTCACTTAAGAAGGTGATAGACCTGCGGCTCTCAGCTGTGTGTGGGTGAATGTTGTGAATTATTCACAGCAAATTTTTAATTTCAGGTCTACCACGTCCACTTCTGGAATTTCTCATTACATTTTAAACTGTTATTTAATTTATTTCATATTAGCATCAAGGAACCAGAACTAGGAGGTAATCTATGCCCTTTATCCCCTTTGTTTCTCTTAGCCTCTTCTTCTGTTCCCCCAAACCCCAGAAATCAGCTTATGGATTCCAGATCTAAGGTGATATGATTTAGGGATTAGCCTCCAAGCTGTGAGCATCTATCCCATGACTCTCTTGCCTGGATCTTGGTAAAATGACTCTAACCCTTTGAGTAGACCCTCAAAGATCTGATCGTATTCCTAAGGCCATGACAGGATGATTGCCTCTGGAATCCTTTCTAGGAATATGATCTAGTTAAGAAAAGCACAGCATTTCAAATTCCAAAACCATGTCAGAGGAGCAGTTTCCCTCTGCTGCACGAATTGAAAAGAGCATGCTTTTCCCTAGTTGAGTGTCATTTGAATATCCACAAGACCCTCTAACCTCTTTGAAAGCCAGAGAATTGGGGAGATATTCATTGAACAGATTTCCTCTCTTAGATAGGCTCTCATTTCCCTTCTGTCTATGATTATTTTGTGATTATTTTCATATACTTACAGAAAAATTACATAGTTATTCTTAAAATTAAAAAAGTTCTTTT